AGAGAGACTTTGTTCAAAAGTTCTGAAATTTTTTATGGAAGCTAGTTTAGTTGAGGTCTTCGTGTGGGCAAAGTTTCAGGTCAAAATTCGAAAAAATATATTTGCTGGAAAACTGGGGTCTTACAGGAAAAATTCACTAAAAATTCACTAGCTTAGTCCCAGAGGCCCATGCACCCAAACCAAGATAGACTTTTTCACTGCTCACTAGGACCTATCGAATAGCAATGGTCCTGAGCGAAAAGCGATTTAACACCTGGAGAGGTTCCCTCGTAAGTTCTTTCCGATGTTGAATGAAATGGAATTATGAAGAAGACAGTATGCTTTTCATATAGCTTTAGCGATAAAATAGCTTATTCTTATATACTTAAGTTTGACCAATAAATAGTTCAGATAACATTGTTAGCAATTCTATAAATCACTTCACATTAAAGACTTTCTTGCATGAATAAATAGTAGAATATCTTGTCTATCATATATATAATAACTCTTTTTTGGATTTAGTTCTTATATTCCTTCAGATATAACCAAATTCCTACTAAATAAAAAAGTTTTGATGAATGAATAATGAATTCGATGGATAATATATATTATAGTTCAGACTATTTTGGAAATAGATGTAAAGACAACTCACAATTCAAGTCGAACAAGCATACTTGTAAACGACCATAAATCGTCGTATATTTGCTCATTATTACGATCGTATTTATTCGTATCAAACACGGATAAATTCGGTCATTTTTACGTCCATACGAATTTCGTATTCATTGTCCTGAAAAGAAGCTTTAAATGGCGGTTTGGGCCTAACGTTCTATCATATCCAACAATTGTAAAGAGAGCAAAGCATTTTCATGAAAGAAGAGAAGATATCAATGATGACTCTTGATTTAGCCGTTCGGTTTCCAAACTAATACATTTAAGTATTGAACTGGTGCAATAGATTATCAAGAATGATCTGCATTTAACTTACGATTACCTGATAGCTGAGAGATCTCTCTCTTCCATGGCACGGCAGAACTAATTATTTGCGATTATCTCAAGATGATGAAAGTCACATCATGTTGCGTGCTTCATCTACTCAATGATCAACAAAAGTAAGAACGAGTTATAATTTGTCGTAAAAATTTAGTGAATTTTTTATTTAACCATGACGATTTAGTGCGCGAGAAAAGTTTTGTCCGCATTGAAATGAACTTTTTTACATTATTTAGACGTATGACAATAGCATGTGAAACATATATATATACAGCGGAGTTTGAGACATTTACGCAACGCATAGTGGTTTTCTGGCTGTTTACTTTGTTTTTTGAGCACAGCAAAACTATGTGAATACATTCATAGATGAGATGGATCGTATGAAATGAGACCGAAATTTTGAGCCGACAGATTTCTAACTAACGAATTACAATTCGAAATTTTGCGCTCACTGTTCTTGGTATTGCCCATTGACAGAGAATAGCCGAAAATCTTCACTCTAAATGATCAAAAATAATAAACTCGAACTCACTTCATACGATCCATCTCATTTCTTAACAAGCCATCCAAAAATGGATGTATTCACATTTTTTTCGCTGTGCTCAAAGAAGAAGCAAACAGTCAGAAAACCACTGTGTGCTGCGCAATTGTCTCGAACTTCTCTGTAGATGAATGTGTTGAATGCTATTCTCATGCGTCTAAATAATATAAAAAATTCATTTCAATGTGAGTGAAACACTTTTCACGCACTAATTATACATTATTATGACGGATAATGACACATGAATTTATCACAAATAGGTTGAGTGTAAGACCACTCACGCAAGCTGGATTAGTGCAAATGAATCACCAACGACTATTATTAGTATCAGTAGATTTGAACCAAGTAAACTTTATTTTCTATATTCTTTTAATTGAAATGCTCTTCTTCTCATGCATAGTGTAAATAAAGGCAAAACAATAGA